CCGCCGTGCTTGCCCCGCCGGCGCCTCCAGCGGGCCCTCCGCCCGAAACAACCGCCGCTGGGCCTGTCGTCATACTTGCCATGACCAACTGGAGTGTTGGTACCGCGGCACTTTTAGGGGCTGTGGCGCGGGCACCATTCGGGTGCTGCTGCTTGGTGGCTTTGGCGCATTGGCGCCAGTCGCTGGCTGTCGGTGTGGTGGCAGGTTGGCGCCAAATCGAACCCGTTGCCGTTTCAGCCGGTTGTTCGTTCGATGTTCGTTGGTCGTTGCAGGAATCGAGGAGCTTCTTGCTTACGTCACAATTGGTGGGTGCCCCCCTTCCAACCGTTGCACGGCCTCGTTCCACCATCCTCTGCCTGCTTTCCCCCACTCTCCCCCGTATCCAGACACCGCGGTACAGACGAGTCGATTTCCAGGCTGCCCATTGCCCTCAGCCAGATACGGTCGTAGCGTATGCGACATGGCGTGTCGCTCAAGTCGCCCAAACGAGTCGGTGGCACGTGTTCCCGAACCGAACGAAAAAGGTCGTGGAATGAGGACACACACCTCTTCGGAACATGTACGACCTTCCGACGACGATGCCTGCCGACGTGGTGGGGACGCTCGATCAGGTTCCCGACCTTGCCGCTTACTTCCCTTCCAAGACCAAGGGCAAGCACCAGACGATGCCTGCACAGCCCGCATCGGCCGATGGTCCGGCCGGGGCGGACGCTCCACCCACGCCACCTGCGCTCGATCGCCAAGTCGCACAACAGTGTCGAGGAGGCCGCCCAAGTCGGACGCTCTCACGATCGCGGCGGCACAAGCTGCTGCTGGTGGCGCACCGGACCCGTGTGGCGGTTGCGCTCGACGACGCAGCGTATGTGCCGACGCGGCATCCTGTCGCCGTCTCGCCCAGCGCGTCACTCATGCTGACGCGTGCCACGCCGTGTGCCGCGTCGCAGATCACCTGCGCCCCGCACCTTGCCCTCCGCAAGATCGCCACTCTCAACGCCGCGTTGCCCACCCTTCTCACTGACGTCAATGGGTGGCGCAAGGCCATGGACTCGCGGGTCCACCGCGCCGGTGTGGCCTGTCCTGTCCACGTCGAGACTCTCGCCGCCGCGCCGGATCTGCTCTCACTACCGGACCACATGCTCGCAGAGTTTCTGGTTGCGCTCCCGCGTGCATCGTTCAATGCGCTTGTCTCCAATCGCTCTGATCTCTATACCCTTCTCCGCTTCTACCAACCCATCCCCATGGCCACTCCCCGTCCAACGCGAATGAGGCCTACGTGTACAACCCTAACCCTCCCAAGCTTCCTCTCTACAAGTATGTGGTGGCCGGAGGCGGCGCAGGCATTGCCGAGATCCTGGGTACGTCATGCTGTGGTGGGCGAGCTGACAGCCGGCGCGGCCTGGCCGAGGCGACATTTCCTGCTGCTGGCCCGCAGCGTGAGCAAGGACGAATGAGGCAGAGAGGGGCGATACTCACAGACGAGCATGTTGGGTGGGTGGGGGGGTGACAGTGATGTATCCGCTGGACGTGGTCAAGACCCGGCTCCAGCTGCAGGTCTCCAAGGCCGGATCCGAGGTGGCGTACTCGGGCGTGGTCGACTGCCTCACCAAGATCGTCCGCGCCGAGGGCCCCCTGGCGCTCTACCGCGGCATCGCCTCGCCGATTCTGGCCGAGGCTCCGAAGCGGGCGTGGAAGTTTGCGTCGAACGAGCAGTTCAAGCAGGCGTTCAAGGGCATCATGCCCGCACCCATCATCCCGGCCCTGGCTGGCGCCTCGGCTGGCCTCACGGAGGCCGGCATCAACGCGCCGTTTGAGCTCGTCAAGGTCCGCCTGCAAGCCAAGGGCTCGGCGTACACGTCGACGCTCAATGCGGCGACGTCGATTCTCCGCCACGAGGGCGTGGGTGCGCTCTACCGCGGTGCTTCGGCCCAGGCCGCGCGTAATGCGGTGTGGAACGGCGTGTACTTTGCCCTCATCTTTGAGCTCAAGGCCGCGTTCCCCGACCCGACGTCCAAGTCGGAGGAGCTCCTCCGCAACATGGCTGCCGGTACCATCGGTGGAACTGTGGCCACTACGTTCAACACCCGTTCGACGTTGTCAAGTCGCGCATGAACAACATGCCCAAGGGCGAGCCGCTCCCCTCCATCACCGCCTGCCTCCGCGACATCTACCTTCACGAGGGTGGTGCCCGCGCCATGTGGAAGGGCCTCACTCCGCGCCTGCTGCGTCTTGGTCCGGGCGGCGGCATCATGCTCGTCGCCTTTGACTACATCGCCTCGCTCCTTGGCTAGAGCTGTGCGAGCACTCCCGCCACATCCCTTTGCTGCTGCTCTCTGTTTAAACCTATCCACCATCCACCATCAACCGCCACGCGCTGTCTGCTACCAAGCATCAGCATCGACCAAGACCAATGGCAGGCATCCGATGCGTCCTGCGTGCTGCCTGTGGTGGCCCCCCCCCCCCCCCCCCCCCCTCCCTCCCCTCTCCATTCCACCTTTGCCAAACACCCGCCACCACCACTTCCACCACCACCACGCCACCACCCCACGCCACCAACACAGCACATGGTAGCGTGGCAACCTGCCGACGGCGGGTTTTGGTTCTGGTGGGTGTTGCTGGTGTGGGCAGCAGCGGCAGGCGCAGCAGGCGGACTGGTGTGGTCGCTGCGGAGGGCACGGCGCAGAGGCGCTAGCGGACGAGGCGCTGACGGAGTGACTCTGGGTAGATCGTCGAGCAACAACCGTGCATTGGCGGCTTCGCTGGCAAGGTCTGGTTCGGGCTCGTCGATGGCTGGACGGCGTGGTGGGGCGAACGGAGTCGGTTCGGGCGCGCTGGGCGCTCCGCCGGTGCTCCCGCTGTTGGACGCCGTGGTCGACGTCGAGGTGGTGGCTGCTGCACCGGCACTCCCGCTGCTAGACGCTGCTGGCGGGCTCAAGACCATTAGCTTTACTGCTGCGCCGCTTACGGCTGGGCCTGGCGGATGGGCGACGGTGCCCGGGCAGGGTCCGACGGTGACGACGGCGACGCTACTCCCGCTGGCCGAGCTCTCGTCGGACGAGGCGTCAGACGACTCGACAACGTGGCGCCGTCGCCGGCCCGAGGCCCTTGCCGCGGCCTCGGCCAACCGCGAGGCAGCCGCTGCGCTGGCTTCGGCGGCGTCACTCCGCGCGCGACTCGCCTCCCTCGAGGCTGTCCACGAAAACAGCCGGCGCCGCGAGGCGCAGGCCCGTACCCGGCTCAACGCCGCCCTCGACGAGATCGACGAGCTGAACACGGCGCTGTATGAGACCCGCCGTGAGTTGGTGGCTGTTCACGAGGCGACTGGCCCGGCTGCGCTCGAAGCGCACGCCCTCGAGCTTGACGCCGCCGTGGCCGAGAAGACCGCGGCCGAGGACGAGCTGGCGGCGGCGCGCGCTTCTGAGGCTGCGCTCCGAGCCCAGCTGGCCAAGGTGACGGAAGCCATGGCCGAGCTGGAGTCGGAGCAGACCAAGCTGACTGCCCAGCTGATGTATGAGACCGGCGAGGAGAACTTTCTCAAGGACGAGGTCGCCCGCCTCCGCGCCGCGCTCGCCCACAAGGACTCGCAGCTCGAGGCCGCGTCTAAGGAGGTCGACCAGCGAGTCTCGGAAATTCGATACGAGCTCGAGCGGTCGCGTGGCAAGTGCGCCGGCCTGCAGGCCCGGCTTGACGAGCTCGAGCTGGTCCGCTCGCAGTCGGAGACCACGTCGGCGCCGCTGCTGCATGCCCCGTCGTCGGCCGCTCCGGTCGCGCCGCTCGCCTCTGACAAGGTCATTGCATACACCGAGGCCATGGCCGAGAAGGAACGCCGCGAGCGCAAGCGCCTTGTCGCCGCCCGCGAGAAGGAGCGCTTGCGCCGCCTCAAGCCCGAAATCGGCCTCGTTCTCGACAAGAAGATGGTGGTGACCCAGCTGACGCCCGGAAAGACCGCCGTCGACGCCGGCTTCCAGGTCGGCGACCGCGTGCTCAAGTTTTCCGGCACGTCAGTCTCTTCGCTCGCGGAGCTGGGCGCTATTCTTGCCCACACTGCTGTCGCCGACGTCGTCGACGTCGAGATTGCCCGCGCCGCCGCGCCGACCCAGGCCGCCGAGCCTCACGACGTCCACCGGACCTCGTCGTTCCTCACTCTCCCGCTGCTCATCGGCGGCGTCGGCCTCGACCTTGATGAGCTGCACGAAGTCCTCGATCTGATTGCTCAGACCCGGGCTTGAGCATCGCCCTCGTGAGTCTGGCCTGTAGGCGTCGCCAGTTTATTGAATCACATCGGTGCGTCCAGCACGCGCGCACGCCACAAACTCCATATGCCGGCAGCTTACTTGTCGGCGCAGAGGACGACAGGCTCGCCACGGCCCTCGAGCTCGCGGTAGACCTGGACGCTCGAGCCTGTACAAGTGTGTGTGTGTGTGTGAGTTAAAAAGGTGATTGAGGTGGGGGGGGGGGGACAAAAGGGAGGCGATGGTGAGATGAATACGTACAGAGGTTGAGGCAGAGGGTGAAAAGACAGTCGGTGACAATCGAGCCGTCAATGCCGTACTTCTGGCGGACGTCAGAGCGGGTCTGCATGGAGCAGCACATGTAGCAGCACAGCGACGGGATCAGGTCACCGATGCCGCACTCGTGCCCGGCAAGGGCAGCACGAGCCTTAGCCAGCTGGCACGGGCCGCAGCACATGGTCTTGAAGCCTACACACCCAGTAAGCCCAACATATCCACAACCCAAGTCCTTGGTAAGTCTATCTCTTTCCCCTTGCCCCCACTTGCCCTCACGTGCTCCGCCACACCATGACCACGCCCTGTTGCAGGCCACGAAAAAAAGCACCCGTCCATGTACACCGCTGACCGACACACCAGCGCCAGAGAGACTGCTATGGAGTGCGTTCGATACACAGGAGTATGCATCCTACAACCATGCCTCGGTGTGAAATATTGTTTTTCCAGCTTGGGCACCTCGTCTGCCCTCTGACTGCCTCTTCAGCTGTCACGTGGGAGGAGGAGGGGGGGAGGGGGGGAGGAGGAGGAACTGGCGTGATGTCCATCTCATGATTGACAGCGTTCGGAACATTGCGCCAAAGGCGTCGTCGACCACCCGCACGTGGGTAAGGATGGACAAGGCGGGCAGAGTGGCTGGCAGGGATACGTACACAGACCGCAGTCGCTGAAGCAATCGCAGAGACCGTTGGACCACCCAGACATGACAAAGTAGTTAGTGAAGTACGGCCAATCGATAGGAGGAGGGGGGGAAGGGGTAGGGGTAGGGCGGGGGTTTGGTGGGGCAGAGGCTGTGGCAGGCCTCGCCACCCGTGCGTTGCGTTTTGCTCTGTCCTTGGCAAAGTTGCGTATGCGTGTGACGGAGCTTTGCGTACAAACGCACCAGACAGCATGCCAGCGATGGATGCATGTGATATGTATGTATGTACAACCCGGGAGCGATCTTGACTGTTGTAGCGGGCCAAACGTAACCAGAGGGAGGAGGAGGGGGGGAGGGGGGAGGAGGAGGAACTGGCGTGATGTCCATCTCATGATTGACAGCGTTCGGAACATTGCGCCAAAGGCGTCGTCGACCACCCGCACGTAGGTAAGGATGGACAAGGCGGGCAGAGTGGCTGGCAGGGATACGTACACAGACCGCAGTCGCTGAAGCAATCGCAGAGACCGTTGGACCACCCAGACATGACAAAGTAGTTAGTGAAGTATGGCCAATCGATAGGAGGAGGGGGGGTAGGGGTAGGGGTAGGGCGGGGGTTTGGTGGGGCAGAGGCTGTGGCAGGCCTCGCCACCCGTGCGTTGCGTTTTGCTCTGTCCTTGGCAAAGTTGCGTATGCGTGTGACGGAGCTTTGCGTACAAACGCACCAGACAGCATGCCAGCGATGGATGCATGTGATATGTATGTATGTACAACCGGAGCGATCTTGACTGTTGATGGCTGCCGTGTTTGTGGTCATGGTGCAGCCAATGGTGCATCATGAAACAGCCAGCCAGTTCCTAGTGGTGCAGGGAGAGGTCCATAGCCTGGTCGCGTTGGACGTTGGGGCTGTGACCGAGCCCACGGTAGCCTTGTTATGCAGACTTTGACCGTCGATCCGGTACAGGTCGCGTATGATCATGGTCATTGGTTATTGGTCAGGGGTATTTATATATATGGCCATGGTGGATGATGGTTATGATTCAATAGTGTGATTGTGGAGTGATTGATTTGCTGCCGCTCATCGCCACCCGTCTCTCCCTCTCTCCCAACCATGTCCGAGTCGGACCACAGCGAGGTCGAGTTTGAGTGCGAGTCGTCGTCGTCTTCGTCGTTTGACATTGATAAGCAGCGGTTCCTGGAAGAGGTAGCCAATGCTCCGGTTGAGGCCCTTGCTCCGCGCAAGCCGTCATACACCAACGAGGAGGTAGGTAGCTCTCTGGGCGGGGTGCCCTCTACTGGGGGAGATGGGCAGGATGGATGGCGTTTAGCCGACCGGCGAGCGACGGCGCCGTCGGCGTCCGGTGCGGGGGACGGCATGGGCGCAGCAAGGCAGGGAGCAAGCGACTCATGAGAGGGTGAACATGGTGTGTGTGTGTTTGTGTGAGGGGTGTAGGAGGTGATGGAGGACAAGCGGAAGGAGATCATGCTGCCCAAGGAGTGGCCTTGGATCGAGACGCTTGACGTGACATCGGCGGTGGCGGCTGAGGAGCTGATTGGCGACGTGGAGAACGACTTTGCGCGCGAGCAGATGTTCTACAACCAAGCGTTGGCTGCGGCGCTGCAGGCGCGCAACTACTTTGCGGAGCACAGCATTCCGGCGAACCGGCCGCACGACTACTTTGCCGAGACGATCAAGACGGACGCGCACATGGAGCGTGTCCGCAAGCACCACGTCCAGCAGGATCTCCGCATTGCGGCGGTGGAGAAGCGCAAGCGCGAAAAGGTGATGAAGAAGTTCGGCAAGCGGGTCGAGGCCGAGAAGATCCAGGAGCGTGCTCTGAAGAAGCGTGCCCAGGCCGAGGTGATCAAGACGTGGCGCAAGCGCCGGGCCAACGCGCTCGACGACAACGATGACGTCGAGTTTGATCTGCAGCTTCTCGACGAGGCCGCTGACGCTGTTGCGGCGCGTGCGGCCAAGAAGCCCAAGCTCGGGCCGAATGGGCGGCCAATGGCCAACGCCAAGCGGCGGCACAAGAACGAAAAGTACGGCTTTGGCGGGCGGCAGAAGCATGCCAAGTCCAACACCAAGGACTCGGTCGACGACTTTGCCTCGGACTTTTCCTCTCGCTCCAAGGGCAAGATGATGCGCGGCATGCCGCAGCGCCTCAGCCGCGGAGCCAAGCCTGCCGGCAAGAAGAAGCCGAGCAAGCGCCAGGGCAAGCGCAGCCGCAAGAACCGCCGGTAAACGTGACGAGTGCGACGGAATCGAGAGCCGAGAAGAATTTTACCAGGCAAGCGGGGCACGTGGGAGAGGAGGAGGAGGAGGAGGAGGAGGAGGCGAAGGGCTAGGCAAATGCGTGGATGATGGTAGCCTGGGCGGCGGCAGGCATGTCGTCACCGAGCGCCTCCTTGCCCTCGTCGATAGCGGCGGCGGAGCCGGACTCGGCAAGAGTCTTCTTGACCGAGTACTCGGCGCCGCGCATCTTTGCCGGCTCGCCAAGGACGACCGAGACCGGGCAGGTGCGGTTGGGCTTGAGGAAGGTGACTTCGAACGACATGCCGGTGTTTGAGCCGCGGACGTCGTGGATGGGCGCGAGGGCGCCGTGCTCGGCACCGGGCTCGGGCGACGAGACCAGGAGCGCCATCTTGGTCGAGAGCAAGCACGAGGCAATCCATTGCGGGGTGACGACGACGAGGCCCGCGCGCTCAGGGTAGGCAAACATGATTTCGGACATGTTGTCAAAGAGGGCGTGGAAGAGCTTGGCAGGCGCGTTGCGGGTCGAGAGGTCCCAGGCGGTGACGCCCTCGTTGCGGTGCGAGAAACCCTCCATGACGAGGCGGGTCGACTCGACCAGCAGCTCGGCGCGCTTGTACCAGCGCTCCATGACGCGCTTGACCTGCTCGTTGCGGAGCGAGTGCGAACGGCGAGTCGTGGGATCGATCACATAGTTGGCCGAGACCGGCTCCTTGTAACCGTCCGGAAGGGCGCCGAAGCGGATGTGGCGGGCGTGCGCGGCCGAGAGGTAGACAAGGATGCCGTACGAGCCGGCCGAGGTCTGCGGCGACGCCCACGAGCAAGAAACCATGATACGCTCGGCGTCGAAACGGAGCGAGGAGCGCGGGACGTGGGAGCTGGTGATCGACGCCAGCACCGCGCCGAGGACCGGTGCCGCGCGGAGGAGGAAGACGTCGCGCGGCAGGTCGGCGGTGAGCTCGCGCGAGGCCTTGACCGTCGATGGGGTCGAGATGGCGTCGGCCGGTGCGCGGACCCGGTTGCGGACCCGCGAGCTCTTGGTCCGCGAGCTCTTGGATCCGCCGCTCCCGGCGCCGCCCCCGCTTCCAGAGCTCGGCGTCCGCGGCGTGGTCGGGATGAGGTTGGGGAGCTTGGACGGCGGCGGCTTGCCGGCGTTCCAGTCCATGGCAGCGGCGGAGGCGGCGGCAACCGCAGCACGTGCCTGCTGCAGCAGCTGCTGCAGATGCGCCATGTACGCTGCAGACGTCTCGTTCCCGTTAGTCGCCTTCTCGGTCGCCCACCCGGCGAGGTTGGAGATGGCCGTCATGGCACTCACCAGGCTCGTGTCGGCCCGCATGGTGGCCGAGGCAAAGAGCTGCGGCAGGCCCTTAGCCACAACCTGGCCCGCCACGGCCTCGGCCGGCGCCTGAAAGATGGCGGCGTTCTCAACTGTCATCAAAGGCACCACAATCTCGTCGACAAACTGTGGGAGGCCTGCCGATGCTCCGCCGTTGGCCTCGGCGGCCTCGGTCGGCACGGTCGGCATCGTTGGCATGGACGGGAGGCCCGGAATGGTCGGCATGGGCGGGAGGCCCGGCATGGCGGGCATGGCCGGCATGGCTGGCATGGCCGGCATGGCTGGCATGGCCGGCATGGCTGGCATGGCCGGCATGGCTGGCATGGCCGGCGCCGAGTCGACCCGCAGCAGAGCGCTCGGCAGCTGCTGCTTCGAGTATTCGCGGAGGATAGTCATAAGGGTGAGGACGGCGTCTGCGCCCGAGCCCACCACTGCTTCCACCAGTGGAGCCCAGACAGGTGAGGAGGTCATGAGCGAGGCCACAATAGACAGCGAGAGCCCTCCTCCGCTTCCTCCACCATGGCTCCCAGGTCCCGTCACTCCCGTCGCTCCCGTCGCTCCGGTCGAGCCGGACGACGCCGCCGTATGGGCTGCTGCCACCACCAGCGGCGGGGTGGAGTTGACCACAGCCTTGGCCTCTTCAGTCAGCATGTAGTTGTATGTATGTATGTATGTATGTATGTATGTGTGTGTGTGTGTGTGTGTGTGGTGGTGGTGGTGGTGGTGGTGGTGGGAGGGGGTGGGGGTGGAGGCAGTGCGGTGTGATCGGCTGGTAGCTGCTTCGGCGGCTTTGGCCACACACCGACACCGACAGAGACTTTGACACCGACTCAACCACCGACACCGACTCAGACACCGATATCTTTGCTTTGTTTGCTCTGTCCTCCATGCCATGCTCTGATTTGATGCTGATCAGTGTGCCGGATGGGTGAGAAGAGCGGCTAAGGAGATGGTGATGGCGGGGGGGGGGG